AGCCCCGCGACGGCCCGCAGGTCGAAGCGCCCCGTCAGCCCCAGCAGCCGCACACTGAGAAAGACGTGCGCGTGGGAGTGAACGGTGTGTTGGATCTGCGCCGTGCGCTTAGCGAGGGCCGCCCGCAGCGCCTCCCGGCCCTTCGCCAGCGCCAGGGCGTCTTTCTTCTGCAGGTAGGCGAAGTCGTCGGCGGAGACGCCCTTCGGGGGGCGGTCGGGGTAGGTTTTCAACAACTGCTGCGCGCGAAGCTGGGCGTCCTCGAAGGCGAGCCGCTCCGCCGGGGACCCCGACGCGATCGCGGCGTCCATCTCGCTGAGCCCGATGAAATACGTCGCGCCGGCCTGCAGCGCCGCGAGGAGCGCCGCCAGGACCCCCGGGGCGTCGCGGAAGTTCAGCCGGCCCAGCAATAACACCAACCCCCGGCAGGCGGCCTGGGCCGTGTGCACCGAGGCCGACCCCATCGCCGCCAGCAGGGCCGCGCAGATCGCCTGGCCGTGTGGGGGCAAAAGCGCGGCGCGCGCGCCGGAGAAAACCCCGTCGAAGGTCGCCGCGCGGACCGGCGGGTGCTTTGGATCCCACCGGCAGACGCGCAGGCGGTTCGGGTCGTAAAAGTAAAGATCCTCGCCTTGGAGGTGGTCGTGGCCACAACAGAGGACGATTTCGGTCAAAACCGCCGCGGTGGGGGCCGCCGCGGGGTCGGCCAGAACCGCCAGCCCGACGGCCAAGACGGCGTGGTGCGCGGTGGCGGACAACATCGCCGGTTTGTCCGTTTGATGGAGCCCAAAAACCGTCCGGGTGAGGTGGGCCCAAAGGGCGGCGGGCGAATGCCCCGCCCCGCCGAGCCCGCGGAGGCACTCGAGCAGCGACCGGCGGACCTGCCCGCGGTGGTGGGTCAGCAGCATCGCGAAGGGCCCGCCATGGCCGGCCCGCGCGAGCGCCATCGCCACCTGCGTTAGCCGGCGCCGCTCGTCGAGGCCGCCGTCGAGCTGGCCGAGCACCTCCGCCGTCGACAGAAGGCGGCAGAGCCCGCCCAGGACGTCGGGGGGCGAATCGCCGGCAAAGTAAAGGGCCAGAAAGGCGTCCGGCCGCAGCACCTCGGCCTCCGCGCAGCCCGCGAGGATCGGCCGCACCAGCGCGTCGGTGAGGGGCCCGGGAAGTTGGTCCGGCGCGAGGTGAACG